TGACCCACTCAAAAAATATTCTCAGATTATCACATTTTGCACAGATTACACAGCATTCTTGGATTCAGTCTAGATATAAAGAGAATCAGTTTACCCTTTTTATAAAAAAATGCCAGTTTTAAACATACATAGCTGAAAATGGAAAGCAGCCTTGGGAGCTGAATGTTTTTTATGCAGCTGAATTGAGACATACCAGAAGTAAATTAATTTCAGTGCTGAAGAGCATTTTAAAGCATTCTAGCAATTACACAGGAAGCTGGATGTAGTCACTATGAAGCTTTCAAACCAACTGTATCTTTGGAAAAGTCAGATTTAATACCACATTAGCTCACATTTTAATATATTTGGTAACTCTGCTGGAACACAGATCCTGCTTATTGCTTTGAAACATTCATTATCACTGAAATCTAGATGCTTGTCTAGAGTTCTTCATAGCCAAAATTAAAAAGATAAAATAGAGGACAGTAGGAACAAAGGCACATGGTTAATTTATAAAAGTATTTACAGGGTACTTTAACATTTATTTCTCTCTACTAGAATACAAAGAGAAAAGACTACTGAAACATGTTGAAGATCATCCGAAACGGGTGTTCTCCAGCTATCTGAGCAGAGGATCTTATACACCATTATTTCCAGAATAATATTCCTTGTTTTGAATATGGAATTCCCAAATATTAAAGTTCATAAATTTATTATTCCCCTAAGCACTGTGATACTTTAGTGCAACCCTCTTCAATGGTTGAAGCTGGCATAGTTAAGGCAGTCTACAAACAGTATTTTAAATTCAGCGCACAGTGTTTAATCATTGAGGTGCGTGGTCCTTCTCTGTATGGAAAGCTGTCTTCTGAAACCCTCATCCATGCCGTAATCCTTCTACCTGATGCAGCCTCAAACACAGCATTTAAACACACAATTCTCGCAGTGTTTGGGGGGTTTTTTTGGACGTGGGATGGGAGGAGGAGTCTAACAACAAGCTAGTAGCTCCATAAGCAACTCAGTAGGATGGTTAACATTGCTGAATTGTTTAGTACCCTCACTGTACATTGGCAACCTGTAAAGATTAGCACAACAAGATGCTTTTAAAACATCCATTACATTCAAATCTATAAGCACCCCATAAATCCTGGTACCATAATCTGCACTCCACTAACGGGTATTTTAACACAGTCTGTTACCAAAAGCAAATCAACTTTCCTAAGGCATTTCGCCCCACCATGAAGTTCACTGATGCACAAGTTCAAAAATCTCAATAAGAGGACTTAATCTCATTCTGGTTCCCCCCCCCCCCCTACAGACTTAAAGTTAGCATTTTAAACTTAAGCATTTTGAAACTATTACTCTCAACTATGGCAAAAGATTTTACTTTAGTAGTATGGAAACAGTTTCCATTAAACTTTAAAGGCTATGTCTTATTAAACGGTGACTACTGCTGCCTAGCTACAGCTGATAGGTGAGGGCACCAGAACTTAAGTAAGTTCTATAAAATTTCACAGAAGAAAAAAAAAAAGAAAAAAAAAATAACTGCATAGTATGCAATCCCTTTTTATTCATCAAAGCTGTCCATGTATATCCCAGGGTGGAAGACAGCAGAACAGCTGCTCAGCCTTCAGATGCACGTGTGTTTAGTGCTTGCTATAACATCTTTCTATCTTGCTTGTTGTCAAATCTCTTCAAACGATAAGTACAGAAGTGGGAAGGAAAAGATACAGGAAAATAGGATAGCATTTTCAGAAATGTCAATGTCCCTCAAAGTTCTCATTTGAAATATTACTATAAATTTATTTACGATGAGAGTCATCAGAAGACCATTCTTCTGGGTTTAAAATATTTTTTTTCTTTGAAAAAAAAGTAAACAAAAAGAAAACCGATCCACATTACTAAATCCACAGATGCTGTGGTTTTCCTGCCTGCCCCTCTCTCCTTACGTATGTCCATACTGATGACAGAGCCAGTTCAGAAAAGTCTAATCACTATCTAAATTAACAGGGTTGTAGTCAGGGTCATCCTCTTCATCCTCCAACTCTAGATCATCCATTTCTTGGAATAAAGATTCATCAACCTCCACGCTGTTTCCAGCTGCAAAGAACAGAAAAATAATTTATTTTAATGCAAGTAGGAAAACAGCACCTTAACAACAAAATACACGTTTTTTTCATACTCAGACTGCAATGTCAGTAACTATTAACTTACTTGGGCTTTTATATATCAAATGGATATAGAAAAGGAAACAGCACATTTTATCTCTTTACAGCTAAAGCACAGCTTTTTTCCCATACCAAAACCCAGACAAGAGAAATGTCACACAGGACCTCAGAATGCACTGGAAGAATGAAATTAACAATTACAATTCCCAGAAGCAGAGGTCCTTTCTCCCAGGTATTGTCAAAGTAGGAGCTCAGGACCTCACAGCTGGAACATGTGCAACTATCAGCCACAAGAACACATAGGGTTTATAAAAAAACCAAACTGTGCACACCATTTATATGCCTACATACACACATTTGCTTTCAGATTTCAATTTTAAAAGCAAGGTGAAGCTTTGCATGCTTTCACATTTCCTTCTGAAAGAGATGATGCTAACCTAAGGATAAAAATTGGGAACTACCACTGTTTTATTTATGTGCATCAGCAGCGACATCTTCTGGCCACTGGGTAAGTATCTATTTTTTCCACTGGATTTGAAAGAGCCTTTATAACCGTTTCCATCTAAAAGATAATGACATTATCCTATTTAAGACGTGAAAATTAGTATTACTTATTACATTGTACCATAATATTAAATTGCAGTTAGTAAATTGTTGCATTTATGATAAAATGCAAACAGCAATAAGGACAGGAGCTTTAATCACAGATAGCAACAGGATTGAAAGTTAACACATTAACCTCAAGACGTTTGGACAAAGAACCCAAATAAAAGTCTGCTCCTCCCTGTGACAGCCAAATGTTCCATCAACAACCCTTCTTCACTTTATGCGTTTTGAAGGAAGACAAGGTTAAGTTATGCTTTCTAACCAAAAGAAACTCGACTCCCCCATTACTGCCATTTCAACTTTATACTCACTGGTCTGATGTTCATAAACAACATTTTAATAAAAAAGAAGCTACTTGCACAGAAAATTCTTGACTCTCTTCTGCATTAGATAATGCAGCTACATTAAAGAATTCTCTTAAGTAAAAAAATAAAAAAATCAGGCTTTTAAACTAAGATAACTAAGATTCAGTACAGAAAATTAAACAAATACATGACTGCAAGTAGATTTATTTATCTCCAATAGATTTTCCAAGTTTAACATCTTTTGGCACAGGCTTATAAATTTTCAGCTGGCACCAGAGCAGATATTCACAGTAAGATAATAGACAAATCTGCATGAAGAAGAACTGGGTTGCATAGAAGCAAACTGACCAGCAAGATGTTTACTACTGGTGTGAAGGTTCAGAGAGAAGGAGACAGAACTTTAAGATCTGTGCTTAAGAATTAGGGTAAGAAGACTGGCTACTAGGAAAAAGAGAAAAAGCACAGTTTGGTTGTGGTTTATTTTATTTTGTTTTGCTTATTTTTGATTTTGCTTCCAGTCTATAAACACCTGAATAGAAGCAACAGAAATAAGATCAACTAAAGCTCAAAACCACAAATGAATACATTTTAGCATCTTGAAAATGGTTCGTTTGTTTTTGAAAGAAGTTAAAATCATGTCTGTTCAATCTGCAAAACTACTTCTTATGAGTTGCTCCAAAGTAAAAGTGATACTGAAGTAAGATGTTAAGTCAGAAATAAAGATTTTGCTTAGGAATTTTGACCTCTTTTAAGCCCCTGTCTTTCAGTTGTGGAAACAAACAGAAATTTACCTTCCTCCAAAAACTGGATGTCAGAAGTGTCAAGGTTGTGATCCATTTCAAACAGCTGTTTACCTAGAAATAAAAGACAAAATACTATATAAGCAAGTTAAATTCTGAAATAACTATCAACTAAGGCAACAATAGTTAGCACATATATTTTAGGCTTTTCAACTTAACCAATACAAGTAGTCTCTTCTTTTTTTTTAAGCTGCTCATTTCTGTAAATTCCCCATTCTGATATTTTGACTATTCATCCAGGATTCTTTCATGCCAAAAGGCTTCTCCTCCTACATGTGAAATGGGTCAGTTTCTTAGTCACTCTAATGTTACTAAGGCTTTAATAATTGGGATTGGAGAGAGTACTGCCCTACAGCCTCTACTCAGTCCTTACTGCTTTAGTCCTCATCTTGATTCCACAAGGAAGACTCTGTGGAAACTGGAAAGGAAATTCGCTGCCTCCATCTTTGTCCATACATCCTCCCCATTCAACAAACAACTTGGATCTACAAACAAGACACCAGCTCCTACACACACATCTGTGTGAAGGAAACATCACACAAGGCAAAGCATTTCCAATTAGACGTAGGGAAAGAAAAGCTCAGGACTTTTTCCACATAAACCACTCATCTTCCACCTATATTTGCGTTGCTTATGCAGTCTTCTGCTAACCAGACTGCCTAGTGTTCATCGTAAAACTTTTAAGACATCTTTAACTTCTACTGGGGTTATGCCCTTGGCGTCCAAGAAGAAGCCTTGTTTTAGTTTTGTAAAGGGGAGTTTCAATAAACTAGGCTTGTACAGAGGAAAACAGGCACAGCACACTAACAATATTTTTAGGACCAAGAAAACTGGAAGAACCCCAATTTCTACTCTCTCATCTCTGCAGATTCCCAAACACATTCCCTTCAAAGGGGAATCCAGCATGTCCCCTGCCCTGTACAGCTTTTCATTAAACTTGCCACCAATAAATTCCATCTGTCAAATTTCAGTCAAAATTAGCCAGAAGATTCAGTTTTCAGAAGGAAGGAGAAAAGATAACAGTGACAGAACATGAGGACATCAGGTTAAAAAGTAAATGCAACATCACAGGAGAACTAGTCCAAAGCTAAGCTGTGGAGAGTGTGGAGGAGGATGCCCAAGATTTAATTCTTACCTAATAATTTCCTCCACATTTTCCCCGCTAGCTAGAGAGTTTGCTTTCTGCTGGACAAACTGTGATAGCCAAAACACAAAGCCTGAAACCACTGCTATATTATTCTCCAAATATCAGAGCCATCGTAAGCTTATCACATGCAGCAGCAAGCTTCTGTGTTGCTTCAGTCCAGCAACAGCATCCCTAACTATTAGATTCACCTGCAGTTCTGCAGTCACTGTACAATTCGGTGCAATAAAGGCCAAGTCACTAAACTGATGCAGATTCTTCCTGTTCCTTAAAAAAAACCAGATATTTCTGCCAGAACAACGTTTGTCAGTAGCAGCTCTAAGTGGTATGTTCTGTTTGGAACAGAACCAAAGCAGCTTAAACACGCTTTGGGAACCGTAATGAGTCCAGCAGAAATTCTCAATCTATTAACTTTTTATTTTGCCCAAACCCAGCTCTCAGAAAGGCTTCATGTGACATCTGGGACAAGAATAAAATATTACATTAAGAGTTTATTTACTACCACCATCTTTCTATGTAAAAGTTACTTCTAGGCTTGTCACTCTAGTCCAGTAACACTACAAAAAGTTCATAGAATCACAGAATAGTTAGGGTTGGAAAGGACCTTAAGATCATCTAGTTCCAACACACCTGCCATGGGCAGGGACACCTCCCACTAAACCATGTCACCCAAGGCTCTGTCCTACCTGGACAGTTCAGTTTCAGGAAGAGTTAAAATCATACCGCTTAATTTATTTTTGCCTGCTTGTTCCTCTTCTTTCATTTTTTTCCTTTTTATTTCTAGGAGTTCTGCATCAAACTTTGCTTTCCAGTTTAGGAAATTCTCAATGGTAACAGGAGTGCCATGAAAACGTTGCTGAAAAATAAACCAAACAGAAAACAAGGCTGCAAACATAATTTGCAAAGCTGTGAATGAAGATGAGCATTCTCTTAATTATTTAAATTACAACACTCCAGAAGCACTGCTTGCTGTGAAGTATTCTGAGAAATTAATCCTAACCCTGAGAATACACAAAGAACACATTCTTGTTGGTTTTTGTCATAGGACTCTCCCTTCAGAGAGCTGTACTGAGGTAGAAATTCTCACAGAAAAAACCCAAGTACTACTTTCGGACCTACAGTGCCACAGTTAGCAACATACTACTAATACAGATTACCCATAAGCAGCATTTCTTACCAGCTCTTCACTGCAATTTACACCGAAATACTTTCCATTAAAGTACATTACCCCTTCTGTGTTGCTGAGACAGAAAGGAGTATTTTTGTTTTCCAGCTATTTTTCTGCCATTTTCAGAAATACTGAACTTTCCAAGTCCCACCACCCTCTACCTATTTCTGAGGAAGAAAGTGAAGACTCAGTAGCTGGTCTTACTACAGCACATTCCATGAATGGAAAAATTATTCCACAGTGGCTGGTAGAAAAGACATGTGTAAGGAAGACAAACGGGTCCCACTTCCACCTTGCCCACTCAGTCTACCAAGAAAGAGAGACTTCCTCAGACCCTGCTGCCTGTGTGCAGCATGCCATATTCCGGCTTTTATTGCTCCACATCCCCTTGTGCCTCTTCAAAAAACTGGCAACAGCAACTTTGATTTCATTTGCAAAAAATCCCTGCCCCTGCCTTACAGAGTAATGCTAGAAGGAATTGTGGACATTCAGTACATCTCCAAGAAGACTGCTTTAGAAAATGGGGGAGAAGGAATAACTTAAGTGGACTAAAGAATCTTTCAGTCCTTAAGTTTTAACTATATCAACTTTGATGTTCCCCTCCCACTGCAACTGAAAACTGCTCCTGCATCAAAACCCACATTCAAAAAAAGCAGGAAATTTTTAGTTGAAAACATTATTTTACATACTTTCTCTTCTTCTTCTGCTTCTCTTTCTTTCTGTTTCTTTTCCTCTTCTCTTCGTGTTTTTATTTGATCCACTATTTCATTTAATTTCTCCTGTACTGCTGAGACTAGAGTGAAGATCATTACCATTCCTAAATTTTCTTCTACCTACAACACAAAGAAGGCAACTTCAAATAGGAGAACCTCAAACCTTCAGCAGTTGAACACATGTTTAGGAAGCAGTATGATGTGCAAATGCAGATAACACAGCTGAGACACTCAGCACCAGCCTTCAAAGCCTGCTGTAAAACTCAAATCAATTGGTCAGTTACTCCAGTTAAAGTTACCCCTGAAATGGGTGTGAAGTAAAACACCAATGAACAACACCTGTCTATAATATGTTGAAAACATATTACAGACATCTGGAACACCTTTCCACTAATAAGGCAAAGCCCATTGTAAGAATACGGCTTCAAGATTTGATTATCAAAAATCACAAGAGACAACAGTCACTCAGAACTTCTCCTCTCCTGCAATGGCTTATTTATTCCTTAATCCCATTATATGACCCTTTGAAGCGGGACAGTTACCCATGAAAAAAAAAAAAAAAACAAAACCAAAACCATCACTTGATGGAAGGAAGGTCATAAGAATTAAACCGTAAAGAAAGAATGCTTATTGAACATACTATGGAAATTTTAATGCAGGGATGACTTGTCAAGGATTACTGAAACCAAGTAAGTGTTTCCTTCTCATTCCTTCACAATGCACTCTCACTGATCCCAAAGGCTGAAGAGTTCCCCCAAGTAATTATGTTATTGAAAAGAATCAAGAGCCAATTCAGCATTTTTTAATCTTTCCAAGTAAAATTATACTGGCTTGTTAATACAAATATATATATACACAGTTAAACAAATTCACCTTAAGCTAGAACTGCAGAAGAAGGAAAACCTTAGAGAATTTTCATTTCATTATCACACCTGTAGACACTGAATTAGCCCTATATATTAGCCTGTTAAAATAATTTACCTCAATAATGTCATTTACCAAACTCAAAGTTAGTCCCTACAGGAAGGAACAGGTTTCAAATCAATAGCACATACCTCAGGAAACAACTAATTTGTAGAGAAATTCAGGCCAAAGTTTTCAATGATGCCAAGCTGGATTGAGATATTCCATTTTCCTTACCTGTTGCTGTAGTAGTTTTATTATGTCCGTGACATCATTATCATCAAGATTCTCCTGTGAGACTATTTCATAAAGCGGAGTTTCATCAGGGTATTTCTCTCTATAGGTAAATTTAAGGGTTGTTTGGACAGCTACAAAATAAAAAAAAAAACACATTCTTAAGGTGATAACTCTATATAACTTTGTGTATTTTGCTACTGCATTAGCAGCTTAAATGTTTTTAAACATAAAATACCCCTGTCTTAAAGGAACAATCCTCTTACAGATATGTTAAAGCTACATGAACAGATTCAAACATAATGCAAGAGTTCTGAGAAATTAAGACAAAGTTTACCCTTATAAAGCTATTGCAGGCTATTAATGTCTGAAAAGTCTTTCTGAAGACTGGAAAACCTTCAGTGGTATGGTAAGTACTAAAGCAGTAATCTTCTTTCTCCCCTCATATTCCACTTAAAGCTGGAGAAAACAAGGAAGAGTCCTAATAAGAGATCTAGAGAGAATCTCAACATATTAATTCTTTAAATTCTGTGTACCTGACTGGACTATCAACCTCTGTGTTGAGAACCAGGGCTCCACATAAACTATATGACAAGGACAACGTCCAGCATAAGTTATTAAGCAGAGAACTGCCTAAATAGAACACATTCAATCTGAAGACTCTCAGAGCCAGGATAACATGGAAACAAGGCAAAACAGAACCAAGTCCTTTCATGCATCCTGACAGACTATCATGGAGTATTCTTCCTTTACTTTTAGACTCACAATTCTGAGAGCCAGCAGTCCCTTCAACACAGACACCTGCTCTGAGCACAACCTGCTCCTTTAAAACTGAAGGAGATGACACCAGTTTCTTCCTTCTGATACAGACCAGCACCTTGCAAACTTACTTGAAGCAAGGCTTGCTTACAACGAGCCCACACAACCACTGACACCCAACAAATACACCAGGACTTGGGACCTTTGGGTCTTCGCTTTGGAACTTTTCCTTAAGGGCTTCATATTCACAGGACACAGACTCAACTATTCAATGTAGCTGATATACATACAGTTGCTAAGAAAAAACCCCAACAATCACCTCACAACATGACTGTAAGCTGCTATGCGGATGATGACAACCCACACTTTACAAAGCTTTACAAAACATTTGAGATTCAGCATGTCAGAAAGTAGCCCTAGTGAGAGAGCACAACCTTCCTGTAAACTAAACACAGACTGCTGGAATCCTTGAACTACATTTTCTGAGTGCTTGCAGAGGTATACCTATTGCTGGCAATAGAACTAGGCTTACACAGAAACCCTCCTATAGACATTTAAGACATGGTCAACTTACTTTCACCATTTTCTCCTGCTTCAGATGTCACAGTGATCGTGAAAGTTGTTGGATTTTCTGACAATACTGTTTGAAGAAAAAAAAAAAAGACAGATTGCTTGAATCAGACAACTACTTCTTCACATCATTAAACCTGAACTTCTGAAGGACTAATGAAGCAAGGAAGCTCCTGATAAAGTGTTAACAGCCTTTTTACTCTATTAATAAATACTTTCTAATTAACAGTTATCTTTCACATGGTGTGAGTTTGGAGAGCTCTTTGAGTGATACCATATAATGATACCGTAAAGTTCCTGGTTTGGAAAGTTCTCTTTTGGAAGTTTAATTTTCCAAGAAGTGCAAATCTACTTACTTACCATCAAAAGACCTATGTTAGTGCACTCAATGTCTGCAGAAAGCTCCCAAGCCAGTTTGCTTTACTGCGCTAATAATATGTGTGATGAGGATCCACTGCACTCTTAACCCTGGACTATTTTGACAGTATGCCTGCACCTACTTCTATATTTAAAACAAAGAGTGAATACATAATGCTTCCTTTCAAGAATGTACTACATGAAATTGCATGAATGAGGCAGCCAGAAGACAGATAACAAGCAGCTCTATAGAGACACTCAAAGTGCAAGTCTTGTGATCTAAAGTTTCAGACCAGAAACCTCACTGCACAATGGTGGGTTGCCGATCACATCCTCAAATAAGGACTGCTCTGTATCACTGTTACAACATACGTCCACTCAAGTATACATGCTCTCTCAGTATTAACTGAGTTTTGCCTAATTGCTAATATACTGCTACTAGTCCCACATTTTTTCTCCCTCTTCTTTTAGACATAAGAATATTATGTGAACAAATAGTAACATAGAGTAAGCATCAGAGGCTACATGAAAGTATATTATTTCCACATCAGTATCAGTGATGCAGCATCCCCAGCTACCAAAGATCAAATCATATACCTTTGAGATAAAACTGAAGAACCTAAAAGATTTTCAGATTAAAGCAATAGACAAATATCTGTGTGATGAAGTTATTGCTAACCAAGACACTGTGGGACTTCATGCACAGTGGATACAGTACAGGAAGGAAACAAAAAACACACAGATTTTGTCACTGTTAAGATTCTTGCATGTTGAGCACCCCAAATCACTTTGAATTAGTTTGCATGGTGGATACTCCTAATTGTGTGACAGTGACTAGGAAGCTCTGAAAACCTAATGACCAAACATATCCATCAGTTTGAAGTTTTAGCAATAAAGCATACTGCACCTAGGAATTAGAGCTCGACTTTGTCCTACCATAGATGTGCAACAGAACAAGCCAGATACTGGCAATGCACTTAAAAGAGAAAACCATCCCCAAGCACCCCAAAACACCGGGTGCGTCACGGCTGTGAGAAGCTGCTACCAGAGAGGGAAACTGGCCGACACACAAGCCCAAATCCCACTTAGGGCCGCATCTTTTGAAAGGCTTGTCCGAAGAGCATCCTTCCCCCAGCCGCAGCGGCGCCGGCACACCGGAACGGGTGCCAAT